ATAAAATGTTCTCAAATAAGAGAACCTTATTTTAAATATCAATGTTCTTGAAAAAATTTGTATGTTCTTTGAGAACCCTGAGAACATTGAATTTTAAACACTGGTCTTGATAGAGTAACCGATTAATTATAAAGTAATTGGATCGTAGTATATTTAGTAAATGGAGAAATAATAGAAATTAACTTTGTCTTTTCTGCGAACCTGACTTTCATTCTGGTTATATTGATCCCTCCCATCCTACTCGCGTTAGAGCAACGTATAATTTTTGTGGCCTGCCGGGACGGCAGTCATAAATAAGAGTAGATGGTGGGATCCGTTAGGATTGTATACTGAAAAATATTAAAGTCACAAAATAATGATAATTTATGGTTTGTCAGAATGACAGTCATAATACAAAAAGAAAATGAAAAATGGGAAAGAAAGAGCATATTGCATGATTCTATAAACAACTGTGTGGGTTGCTCGATAGCAGAAGGAAAATACCTGTATGTTTCTTTATAGTAATAGTTATCCCAACAAAACAATAATTAGTTGAATCAAAAATATTAAAATTTGTTTTTTTGAAGTTTTTATTTATGATATTGAGATTTTTTGATAGGCCTTGGCATTTTTTTGGTAGCTTCTGTTTTGATATATACACTTTGAGTTTTAGTTTGTTCTTTCACAGTATTATTTTGTAAAAAAATCCCGAGTTTTTATATATATTGAAGCAAATTTGTTGATTGGTCACTTTTATAAAATAATTGTTTCGTTTTGTATATTATACCAAATCTTGTGATCACTACAATATTTTTTTTTTTTTTTAATGTTAAAGGTGATACAATATTATTTATTTAAATTATAATAAATAAAATAATATAAATTTATTGGTTTATCTTAAAGACATTTAATAAAATCATCCAGAATAGTTGCTAATTATTCAATTTCTTGGAAGTGGTGTGTCGAGAATAATTTTCTTGTTGATTATTATCTCCTTGATAAACACTTTCTTTGAGTATGCAAATTGTGGATATACTGTAGTCCATTTTTGTGGATAATTACCTTGGTAAAGGGGATGCCATTAATCACGTAATTTTAAGAGGGGAGTGTCAAATGTCGTGTATAAATATTACGATTGCTTCTAATTTGATCACCTAGGAGGGAAGTCTAGCTTCTAATAAAAATAATTACGTAATAAATTGTATTCCTCTAAGCAGATGAAGGTAATTTACTTCTATTGCTTATAACTTCGAGCGCTGGCATATTCGGGAATTCGGGAATGCGGGTAATATAATCAAAAAATAAAAAAATCTTCCGTCACGCCTATGAATATTTTATCTGATTAGTCTGATATATCATCCTGCCTCTCAATTTGTCATTGTGACATCCTGTCGATATTAACTGACCATTTGCTTAAACCACTTAGACAAAGAAAGTTAGAACGAAATATAAAGATGAAAATTTTCTTTAAAAAATCCTCTCATGCCACTGAATATCACTAAATGTTACTAGACTTTCATCTAATGGCAATTTACAACTAGTTCATGGGCATCATTAGCAAAATTAGACAACAATGAAACGCAAATTATTTCATTAGAAAAACCATTGTTCCTATTTTAACAGATCGAAGATCAAAAATATTTAAATCGCCTTTTATTAATTCAATTTTGTGATAATTGGCTTTCATTATGTTATTCGTAAGCAATCATAACAGGCTATAAAAAAATTCATAGTTAATTTACAAAGTATTTGTGATAGAAACTAGGTTTCGCTATCTTCGTAGTCCACTTCTTCGTAATCCACTTCTTCGTCAATTTCCTCTCTTTTAGAACCAGTATATTCTTCTTCATCCTCATCACCAAATTCGATACTTATAATTCCATTCCAAGTTACATAAGCAACTACGAAACAAATTGCTCCAAATATTGACAAATTTCTCGTTCTTTCAAATTTGATTTGTGCTTCAGATTTTTCTCTTTTTATTTCTTCAATATTAGTTCTCCAAATATTGCGACTAAACCATGTACGAGGAGAAGTGAAAAGGCCTGAAAAAAAGGATGGGAGGTCGGGAGACGGCAAATGACTAATCGGCCGTGAAGAAAGTAGATCTTTCATTCGTTCACAAAATCGGGCAAGTCGTGGATATTCAGTATTAAGAATAGTAGATAATTCTGAATCGGGAAGTTCTGCATATAAATGAAGGGCCAAATAACCATATGCAATAGCATCTAAGGAAGATGGCCTGGTTACAATAATTTCAAGATTAGTTTATTCAATTGTAATATTAAAAAGTAGATTTTTCCTATTACTCACTGATCTCCAAAAAAAAATTCATTTGTCCCTAATTTCTTTTGCAACACATTATACGATTCGTAAACAATTTTATTCATCTGGAATAAATGTACAAAAAAAATAATAATAATAATAATTTAATGAAATTATGAATAACATCGAACGTTATTCAACCCAAATACAAAATAATCATATATATAAATTATGTTGTCATATCGTAAGACCTTTTTATCCTTATCTATAATAATTCCAGTATCACCAACGCTTTCGATACCATGTATTTCCAACCTCTCCCTGGCGGAGCTACGTAGTTGCGCTGGTATAAAATATTGCATTGGGAATGAAAGTAATCCCGCGTAAAGTGGACGGATGACTTCTATGAAATTTTTGGAATCAACGTACCATGCAAATAACTAAGAAATAATTAGTATAAATATAATGAATCTTATATGATTTGAAATTATGATAATTGACTTACGAGTATATCGTAGACGCATTCTTCAAGGTAAGAGGCGAACCTATTATTATAATATAAAAAGTTTATTAATTTAGAATCGTTAGACTTTAATCAGAAAAAAAAAATAGTTTCATACGCCAGGCTATCTGCTTTTTGTTTATCTGTTAAATTTTCATCCGCATTTAAACCCTTAAAACATAATGAAAAATATAAGATTTAGAATTCAGAAAAATTAGGAAAATTGTTAAATAAATGGATGCACACATTTTTCTTTAGGTGGCTTATTATATTGTGAACACCTGTGATCCAATTCAGCCCATCTCTTAATACAGGAAGTTCTCCTACAGCAAGTATTCTTAAGTTAATAATATAGAATAACTTATGTGAAATGCGCGTATTACCTGTTGGAGAGACATTTGGATTACTGCATTCAACAACTTTCCATTCTTCAGAAACAAGTTGTAAGTATGAAATGACCGATAAACACGCAGGGTCAATAGAAGGAAGTCCCCAACGTGAACCCCATACATAAAGACACAGCATTTTTCGAGAAGCGTAAACGATAGGATAAAGATAATCAATATAATATCGATATGTTGTGCCTCAGATCTAACTGCTAACGTCAGATGAGGTGCGTGATTTGCTGATGGATGGCTCGGCTCGGCTCGTCTCACGGCTACCATGATGTATCCGGGTATTTGCTCGACGCACATTTTCATTCAACTTTACCAGTCTTCAATGTTTTGTATACTCCACAGCATAAAAATATTGATGTTAAAAGTTCGGTTCGAGTCGGTCTTTTGAGTTGACTTGAACCGAACTTTTTTGAGTCGAGTCAAGACTTGAGGAACCTTTTAGGACCGAGTTCCAATGTTCATGTGAGCGTTATACACAAATCACCCTCGTTATAGTAAGTGAGGGCTAATTGATTAACTTAAGTTGAATACCGGAATACTATTGGTAATATCATGTGTTGTGACCAAATGTCACATGAAATTTCAAGTCGGTCCCGAGTCTGACTCGGAACCGAGTTAAAATTAAAACTCGATTTTTGGAGTCGAGTCGGACCGAACCGAACTTTTAACATCCCTAAGTATACAGGTAGGACCGTCCCGAATATGAAAATGATTCCGATATGATTACACATGATTGTCAACCAATCATATTGTAAATTTTAGCGAATTAGCCAATCATCTTGAGGAAAAAAAGTTGGGGGATTCAAAAGGATTCAAAAATATGTTATGAAGCGAAGTGAAGGCATCAATTCATCCGTTATATTTTCTAAAGTTTAATAGAAAATTAAACTACCCAAGCTTTTTGAAAAGAGTATTGTAAAACGTATAAAAAAAATCATTTGTCAATTGTGTAACAATCGGATATCATTTCCAAATTTGGGACGGTCTTACCTCGACCCTAGGTTGAGTATTTTAGGTAGCACACCCACAAAAATTTTCCTACCCCAGTAATTTATAAAACCGTGTTATAATTAGGGTTAGAGCGAGAACAGTGTAGGGTTAAGGTTAGAGTTAGGGTTATTGCTATTAGTAAAATTTCACAAAAAACTAGTGATATGAATTGAAAATCGATTAATCGTTTAGTTGTCTGAGTTGACAACTAATCGATTAATCGTTTAGTTGTCTGAGTTGACAACTAATCGATTATTGCAGTTTGCATAATTTTGTGACCCCTATGATTAATTTTTTTTTTTATTATTAAATGATTGTGATTGCGATCGCGATTGCTAAAGCCGGCCAATTTATCATAAATCTGAGCTTGACACAAACTCAGATTCATGATAAATTGGCTAACTTTAGCAATCATGACCGCAATCACAATAATTTAATCATTTAATCATAAAAAAAATTAATCATAGGGGTCACAAAATTATGCAAACCGCAATAATAATTTGGACCCAACTATTAAACGATTAATCGATTAACTATTAATTGATTAATCGATTAATCGATTAGTTGCTTTTACATTAATTAGATTTTTAATAAAATTTTTATCAGATTTATTTTTATAAATTAGGTTAACTAAACAACTAATCAGTTAATTGAGTATTCAACTAATCAATTAATTGATTAATTGATTAGTTAGCAATAATTGATTTGTAATTGATTTTTAAAAAATTTTTAACTAACTAATTGATTACATTTTTTGTTCTAATTTATAACACTAACCCTCTACTCCCCTTTATACCCCTTTTAACTTCTCTATACCCTCTTTGTCTCTTTTACCCCTCCTAAAAGAGGGTAAAAAAGGTAAAGAGAGGGGTAAAGAGGGAGTATAAAGTAGAGGTCTGATCCAATGAATAGTATATTCGAATATTCACTGAATATTCAAATATTCGAATAAGATTTTTTTTACTAAATTGAATATTTGAATATTTAATTTATTCACCAAATAATTCATTGAATATTTATTGAATATATATATATATATATAATTAAAAATTATCTAATTAAAAAACTATAAATTTATTGATTAGTAGGTATAAAATTTTTTAAATTATAATATAAATCTATAATATTTCTTAATATATTTTTTTTTTAATAATTAGTATTAAATTAAATACTAATAAGTTATATTTTTATATTTATTTATCACTGTTTGCAAATTGATGTAACTTTTGATAAAATCTGCGAGTCACTGCATGCCCGATTGTCCGATTGCAATCGATTGTACATGATTGTACGTGATTGTGCGTAATTGTATGCAATTTCTCAGCGAATATTTTTTTTATCTAAATTTTATGAATCTATAGAATTCAAATAAAAAAAAATTCATTAAATTTGATCAGGTAGTTGCTGAGATATCATTGCTCAGTTTTTTTTTTTAAGAAAATGGCAATGTTTATCATAAATAGAAGCTGCGCCAAAATTTACTTAAAACTTTGAGCGAAGATATTTCAGCAACCACCTGATCAAATTCGATGAAAATTTTTTTTATATGAATTCTATAAATCTATAGAATTCAAAAGAAAAAATTTTCAGTGAATTTGATCAGGTGGTTGCTGAGATAACTTTGCACAAAGTTTTTAAAAATATCATCTAAGCTGTGCCAAATTTTTTCTAAAACTTTAAGAGAAGATATCTCAGAAACCATCTAAACAAATTCAATGAAAATTTTTTTATATGAATTCTATAGATTCATAGAATTCAAAAAAAAAAATCACTAAATTGATCATGTCGTTGCCGAGATTTCTTTGCACAAAGTTTTTAAATAAGCTGTGCCAAAATCTTTCTAAAAATTTGAGCGAAGATATCTCAGAACCACCTAATCAAATTCGATGAAAATTTTTTTATAAGAATTCCTATAGATCTATAGAATTTAAAAGAAAATTTTTTATTAAATTTGATCAGGTGGTTGCTAAGATATCTTTGTACAAATTTTTAAAAATATCTTTTAAGCTGCACCCAAATTCTTTCTAAAACTTTGAGCGAAAATATCTCAGAAACCACCTGGTCAAATTCGATGAAATTTTTTTATTCGAATTCTATGGATTCATAGAATTCAAATAAAAAAATTCACCAAATATTTTCACTCAAAGTTTTTTTTTTAAAAAAAACAAAAAAATTTGCCTATAGTACCAGAGTGAATAAATGTAATAACTCTATAAGTTCTTGTTTATTTGTCTAATATTTCTAAAAGCAAATTTTAACATAATCTCCAAATGCCTTGTTATTGCGCAGTAATCACTTTAGACCAATCTTTTTAAAATCAAGGTGGGTACCATGAATTTTCATCATAATATCATTGTAAAATTTAAGCGAGAATATCTTACTATCTAATCAAAATTCAAGAATTTTTTTTATTTTGAATCTATGATATATAGAATTCAAATAAAAAATTTCAATGAATTTGATCAGGTGGTTGCTGGGATATCTTCATCCAAAGCTTTAAAAAAATTTGACATTGCTTCTATTTAATAAATATTTTGTATTTTAAAAAATTTTGAGCAAAGATGTTTGAGAGAGCAATTGCAAATGTTAATCTAATCTGGCTTCAATAGTTAACTTAATTCGGGATTTATAATGTTTATACACATGATATAATGTCACGAAACTCTTAAACTGAGTTGGGTTATTACTTAATAGATCAACTCAATTATTTGGGGGTAATTTATTATGTAAAAAAAAATAATAAATGCAAGATAACAATAATAAAGAAATACGAATACAATAATAAAAGAATAAAACAAAACTAATAAAATAATACACTACACTAAAGTCAAATACAACACATGTGAGAATCAATTTTTATTATAAACTATATAACTGACATTGCATATTCTCAATAATAGTCTTCTGAGATATTGTCTGAGGAAACTTCCCCAAGGCAAAACTCAGGCCTTAAAATATTTTTTAATTTACTAAGAGCTACTGCACTATATCCTTTTACTACTCTATGTTTATGTAACTATATGAAGCAGCATTGTGAGCATGCCACGAACAGTAATATCTTGGAAAAGCCTTTCTCATAAGCTATTATTATAATTTTTGGCATGCTAACAATCAAGAGCCAACAATTACAGGTTTATCTTATCTCATATAATCAATATTTATTATAGGCAAGATAAACAAACACTAGTGGAGTTGCTCCATATTATTCGCTACCTAGAAACCTCACAATATTTTTGTAGTTTAGGTTATTTTTGCATTTAGTATCACCAAGATACATCAAAGTCACAGGTTTAAATTTTAAACCAACATTTGATTGTTTAATTGCGATCAATTGCATATATGTATAATTGTATGTAATTGTAAGTAATTGTATGTAATTGTCTGCGATTGTAAACAATTGTAGAATTTTTATAAATGTATATAAAAATAAAGTTTACTTTGGTTTTCATTTGTACATATTTGAGCGTTTAAAGTTTTTTTCAAAAATTTATACAAATTTAAAATTGTAAAAATGACTTACAGTGATAATTTAAAATCATGTATAGTTTATCTTACTCAAGATGGCTATAGCAAACAAGAGATTGCGAACCTTTTATATATGAGTGAAACTTTAATAAAAAATACACTTAAAATATATAACAAGTATCATCAAATAAAAAATCTATTTAAGGAAGCCTCTGGTTAGAAAAGATCATTTAATAATAATGATATAAAGGTAAATTTATCTATTATTATAAGTAAAAATTATAAAATATATTAAATATAGTTTATTTTAGATTTTAAAAAAAATAGTTAAAAAAAAAGTAGATTTGTATCTTGATGAGTTACAATATGAATTAGGCATAATAACTGGAAAATGGGTATCAATTTCTACAATACATCGTTACTTAAAACGATATAATATTACTCGAAAAAAGGTATATATATTATTTATATAATTAATAATTTTTATCTCTACTTAAACAATCATATAGTAAGATCAAAGATTAATATTAATATTAAATTTATAGTTGTACAAAGCTGCTACAGAAAAAAATGAACTTTTTCGATCTGCATTCATAGCTCATATTGCAGATTATTATAAGCCTGAGCAACTTATTTTTCTTTATGAAGCATCAAAAGATGAACGCACTTGTA